TAATATATATATATTAATATATATATATTAATATATATATATTAATATATATATATTAATCCATATGCTTTGTGTTTTATCAGAGGCTCCAAAACACCGACGGGAAACTAATTGCGAAGTTTGATTTCTCTTAGATTATTTTGTAAAAAATATCCAAGAAAAGAAATTCCCTATACTCCATCGTCGTAATGTCTCCATCTCAGAAGTCACAATCTGAATATGTTCAACCTGGACTTTTTCATCGTCTATTTTTTACTTGGTGGCTTGGTCTTCTCAAGTTAGTGGCTCAAAGACCTCTAACCCCTGAAGATCTTTATCCACTGCCAGATGAATATAAGGCAGAAAACCTGGTTCAACGACTTGAAAAAACTTGGTCACAAGAACTAAACGACGCAAACACAGATGGCAGACGGCCCAAACTATGGAAAGCTATTCTTCGTGTCTTGCCAATGAAACACTATTTAAAAACGGCGACCTTGGGACTGGCAGAAGTGTTCGCGTTGTATGCGCTAATATTCTTTCTTTGGCTGTTTTTTGAATATCTGCAAGGCGAATCGCATATGGAGAAGTGGCATCCTCCTGTTATTGTATTAGGTATTGGTCTTTGCAGCTATCTCAGGGCGTTTACCTTCCGTCATAGTATATATGTTACCTTAAACATTGGCATGCAGCTAAAGGTAGCTGTAATTGGGATCGTCTACAAACCGGTAAGCAAAAAAAAAAAAAAAAAAAAAAAAAAAAAAAAAAAAAAAAAAAAAAAAAAAAAAAAAAAAGAATGAATAAAATCTAAATTGATATTGACCATTCATCCAGCTATAAAGCAATACACCAGTCCCAAATTCAAGTTGAGTGACCATCGAATAATGCAGAGTTTTTTCCCAATGAAATATAGAATGTCCGATAATCAAACTTAAATTTAGAAACGATTTTTCAGCTGGTATTGTTTTTTATTTTCTTCTGTACTTTAGAATGTATTTATTCTCGTACAACCATGATAAATTTTCAGAAATCGGTGTTTGTTCTACGTTATATATCAAAAATGCAGTAACTATGGAGTAGAACGATTCATGTGGGATCGGTGTATTCAACCCGTTATAGTCTAAGTTGCTTGCTTCAACAATTTCAATTGTTTCGCAAGTCATAAAAACAGGTCACCAGAGTATCAATACAATAATTTTTTGATGTTTTTGGTGTACCGCATGCAAATGATCAGTGGTTTTTCTTCTTTTTATCCTTTTTTACTGCATACTGTGCGCGTTTCGTCGGTAACCGAATTATTTATTGTTTATAAAAGAAAACATTGTTTCATGTTGGCAAAAGCAAATTGTCTGATGAAAGAACGCCTCTTCTCCTGGTGCATTGAGAAAGGAACATCTTCAGTTCTTCTTGTTTAAAGGGTTTCTAAGTAAATATATGCAAATGTAATTTATGTTTCCAGATTCTTTTAATGACAGACAGTGGTATACAAAGAGCTACCTCAGGGGCGATCATGAACCTAATATCCAACGATGCACAACGAATGGAAGAGCTAATATATACATTTTTATTGACTGTCAGTGGCTTTTTGTCAATTCTAACTGGATTTCTTCTATTGTGGGCACTAGTTGGTTGGCAGTCTTTATCAGGAACATTGGTTTTAGTTCTATTTTTAATCATTCAAACTGGTTTACTAAATGCTTATGGAAAATTACGCTACAAGCAAAAACAAGCAACTGACCATCGTCTAGCAGCAGTCAAGGACGTCATTTCAGGAATACGAGCTGTCAAGATGCATGCATTGGAATGGAAATTCAGCGATAGAATCATGTCTTTGAGAAGGTAAAAATGGAATTGTTGTAGAGCGCAGTTACTTTTGAAGAGGCTGAGTGGAAACCAAATGAGTCCTCAGTTTATTCATTGTATCTTAATAGATCGATAAAATGTATCATAAAATCCTCTCTCCCCTTTCCCCGTCCCTGTCCCCCTCCGGAAAAACGTTTTGCACTTCGTTCTGGACTGTACTTCCTCCCGTTCATAAGATCGCCCGGGATTTTACGGTATAGAAAATTATATATCTTCTAATGAATTTGCTTTACCCGGACCACTACTGACATAGGCCTCTAACTTTTGTTATAGAAACGAAGTTATTCAGCTTCGTCTCCTTGGTGCATTCTCCGCCCTCCCGGGTTCACAGATCTTGACACTGCCGCTGCTGGCAACGCTTGTATCTATTGCAACGTTAATCTACTCCAGTGTTCTTACCAATGTGGTCAATGTCTTCACTGTAGTTTTAATGTATAGTGTAATAGGAATGGATGTTGCCTTCTCGTGTAACTATAATTTAATAGAACTGGCACATAGTTTTACATCTATAAAGAGAATACAAGAATTTCTCATGATCTCGAGAGATTCGTGGAACCACCAGACTATCAAACATCAGAAAACCATATCGCTGAAGGCGGGCCTCATAAATCGTCTCAATGACATTTTCTGTGAGAGGATAGTTCTAAAACAGTCCAATACATGCACAGCGTATTCTTTGTTAAACAATGATGTTAGTTACAATAGCAAGGAAGATGTGCCAAATGATGTCACTGAAGGTATTGCACCAAATGTCACAGTTAAGAAGATGTCAGCAGGCTGGTTTGAAGATGACGAACAGTGTACCTTGCATGATATTTCCTTTAGTACAGAACCAAACCAGTTGCTAATGGTTACAGGACCTGTGGGGAGTGGCAAGTCCACGTTATTAATGGCTATCTTAAGAGAGATTCCTATCAAGTCGGGAAATATCTCTACACACGGAATAATCGCTTATGTCAGTCAATATCCCTGGATATTCACTGGAACAGTACGCGATAATATACTCTTTGGACAAAAGTTTGATAAACACAGATATCAAAGAGCCATAGATGTTTGTGACCTTAATGAAGATATCGGCCATTTTCCCAAAGGAGACATGAGTTTGACTGGGCAGCGAGGCGTCACTTTGAGTGGTGGTCAACGTGTACGTGTTAGTTTAGCACGAGCAGTCTACTATAATGCTGATGTTTATTTGCTTGATGATCCACTGAGCGCTTTAGACGTCAAGGTTGGTAGATACGTCCTGGATGAATGTATCTGTAATCATCTGTCAAGTCGGATACGAATTCTAGTGACGCATCAACTTCAACATCTCCACCGAGCTGACAAAATCTTGTTGATGAAAGAAGGTCGTTTAATGACTCAGGGCTCGCATAAACAGCTTATCAGTGAGGGTTTGATTGGAGATGTTGTGGAATATGATTCAAAAACAGATAACTTGAAAGAAAACACAGGGGAGGAGGTGAAAGTGAAGTTTAACACACTCATACAAAACTCTTGTAGAGATATGGAAGAGGAGGATGAAGATAGACAACTGGGAACAGTAACGTGGCAGGTTTATTGGAAGTATCTGAGGTCAGGACTACATCCTGTGCTGTTAACGTGCTTTGCATTGTTTTATCTGGCAGTCCAAGGTGAATAATATATTCTGTCTTATATTTTTTTAGAAAACTTATATATAGAAATATATACTATAAGTTTGCTAGCTGCAAAGTGTAACTAAAATATACTGTCGCCTATATATCCTTAATGCAAATTATTGATTGCTTACATCTGAGGAAACCCACTCACGCTCGGCTGAACGTTTATAAGGGATTTTTGCCGTTCTCTTGCAAAACAATATGTTGTCCCCAAGTCTGCTTTAAATTTATGTCTATCATTAGTGAATGAAAGATCAAATAATGGCAAAGGTTTTTATTGTTGCAAGGTCTTAGAAAGAAAATTATACACAAATATCATAAAAGTGGCTTTCTTTTAATAGGGGAAGTAGCGCCCCGATTAGTGTCCCCAGAATTTCAATTGCCGTATTTTACTATGACGTCACATCAAAACAATATATTGTTTAAACGCAAAGAATCATGGTCGTCGGAAGGGGTCAAATCAACGCAAATTCACCGAAAGTTGTTCTAAAACCCGTATCAATCCACGAAGAGAAGTAGAATAGCCAGTGAACGCTCAGAATATTTTTTAGTACATATTAACACATATAATATCTGATAACCAGGCCATCGCTAGGAGCAAATTTTGTTGAATTTTCTATTTGATTTGGCGATTCTATCCCCCACATAAACAAGCGGTGACATCATAGTGAAATAGGGCAATTCAATTTGAAGAATAGCCGTGGTAAGCCAGTGGCCGACTTACTTGTTATTATTAAAACTTATCATGACTTTTCTTTTCTTTCTAGGAAGCATACTGGCTCCGCAGTTGTGGCTTTCMCGAATWGTCAAATTACCAAAACATCAACAGAAGGGCTTTGAAGCTCTTGGAATGCTCGCTATACTTGTTACTGTTGCTTTTGTCTTGTGTTATTCAAGACAGCTGTTGCTCTACAACATCTTAGTCAATGCTTCCAAGAACCTTCATGACAAGATGACTCTGGCAGTTTTGAAGGCTCCTGTCTTGTTCTTYGATACAAACCCTCTAGGACGAATAATCAATCGTTTCTCGAAAGACATTGGTTACATGGATAATTTGATGCCTGRAAAMYTTTTATTTKCAACCGCGYTGTGYACAACTGCKGYYGGTGTSGTGGTGCTRTCGTTGATCACYAACATTTGGATTATTTTTGCTGTTGTTCCATTGTGTTGTTTATTATTCTGCATCTGCTATTATTACCTGAGAGTAATTCGTGACTTGAAGAGAATGGAATCAATACAATGCAGCCCAATCTACGCCCATGCTGCTGAAACTATCGCAGGGCTAGCAGTCGTTCGAACATCACACATGCAAGAGAACTTCCTGGAAATAATGTTCAGGTAATTAATTTCTATTATCATTTAGTGTTAAAAAGATTTTAGCAAGCTTCGAAAAACTGAGGGAGCTGGGGAGTGGAAGGCACAAAGTCACTTTGCAACACGTGATCATAAAGTATAAAATAGGTAGAACACTTACATAGTTGCATGATCGGTAAAGCCAACGGAACCATTGTTTTGGTTTACCATCATGGACTGCAAAGTATAGTAGTTTTTAATCCTTCTCCAATACTAAGATGGCACATCCTAACTGGATGATCGTCGAGATTAGATAAATTAAATGCTGCTCCGGAGGGTATAAGGTAAAGATTTTCTTTCTTTTTGTCATATCGAGAATTAACTTTGTTTATTTTTTCACTGTCATGTTTTTGATTGGTGAACTAGTTTTCTAGTCTTCAGAGTGGATGATAACTAGTAGAGAACTAGTCTAGTCTTTAGTTTGCCGTTGGTATTTGGGCTTGCGTATTTAAATGTTGACGACGAGCTTGGTTATCCAATTTAGGAGGGCAAATAGTTGCTTTCAATTAAAAAAAATTAGAATGCTTTTAAAACATTTAAATTTAAATTTAAATTAGTACAGTAATTAGTAATTTGTCTGGATCTCTTTTCTGTAGGCTTCAAGACGAATACTCCAAAATTATTTATGTGACCATAGCAACTAAAATGTGGTTTAATATCAACACCGACTTGTTGTTTGCAACACTGCTTACTGCGATTGCTGGAATCTCCTGGGCCACTAACATGGACAAAGGTAAGAGTCATTGTCAGTAACATATATAGATCATACCCAAGTTTAAAGGGCGTTTTACGGTGATGTGTGYGGTTTTTTTTCAAATTCAGTTTAACGTATTCGAGAACTTTTTTGGATTTCGTGACGTACATTTTTGTTGATATTACAAGATTATAATATAATTGTGTGACTATCGGTGAATACTTAACGAGCCTTGAGTCTTCGCGCGGCGAGGTAGATATTCACCATAATCACTGAGCTTGGGGGGAATAATTGATTTAGTATTATTTAGACTTCAATATCAGAGAAAAAACAAAACATACGATTTTAAAAAAACGTTTTAGTATTACTCCCGCTCTGGCAAACATTGGCAACTCATAAATCACCACTGATTATCCTCTCAGAATCACTGGCGTCTTGATCAATCACAGCGCACGAAACTCTATATTCCGGTCTAAAGTCATACTTAATACCATTAATTATTGTTTCAAAGGCCAATAGTTTTGCTATATTTCAAGATTCAACGAGAGTACATCATTGCAACCCAAACCTCCTTACCTGTCATTAACATAGAGCGGCTCGCAGGCTGCACATGTATTTTTTTTCCTAGTCGCTTTTCTTAATCTTTGTTAACCAGCAAGTTCAATACGGTAATCAATTATTAACCTATTATTGATCGTTATTTATCCGACCTTGGTAATGTGTTGGATCTGATGTAATTCCTCCGGTGCCTGCTGTTAGAAACCTTGGCGCATGGTTGATATTCTCAACTCCCTATGCCAACCATACATCAGCAACATCTGTGGTTCACGCAATTTTCTCTCATATACACAAAATTAGACGAATACGTACGTTAGTACTTATTCGTGGATCGTATCGACAACGCTGATACCTGCTCTGATAACAAAGCAGTCGTATTGATTACTGGAACAGTCTGTTGTATGGATTGCCAGTTGCACCATAGTTAATGGAGCTCCATTAACCATTGTTGCACCCGCCGACTAGACCGCTTGGTACTGCTGCTAGACTTAGTATATAGTAGTATTTATCAATATATATTTATCATTCTTATATGTAAATAGTTATATAGTTATATATATTATATTATTATTGTAATGCGCGCATGATCATTGTATGGAATGCGCACACAATAAGTGATTAAATTATTATTATTATTATTATTATTATTATTATTATTATTATTATTCGACTTATTCAGAGTGCCCCAAAGCTAAGTTTTGTAATATTACACCTCTATTTACGTGAGCTGCACTGGCTTCCAATTGCCGGTTTTCACATGACGTCATCAAAACATCAAAATCTAAACTATAGATCGTGTAAAGGCATTTCTCAAGTATGTTTTAGAAATCAATGTTATAAGTCAGATGTTTGGTTCCCGAGTTATGAAGGCTGAGTTTATGTCACGCAAAACCGTCACGTCTAGCTAAATAGCGATGAAAATATTAAAATAATTGACTCTAATTGAAAGAATTTCCCTTAGACACGTTTAAAATATCTATTTCAAGTATGTTTAAGTGAAATATAGTCAAACATATTAAATCATCCATCATTTTAAGCCTTTGGAATTTCGTCCGCCATGATGGTGTACCAACTTGAAACAACAAAATGGCCGCTTCATACATTTTAACCAAAAATTGCTTCATGTTTACTCGCCTATAGTTCCGCAACGAAATGCTTTACAACCTTAAAATTTGGCCAGTATATGTAGTTTGGACCACTTTACAAGATTATGAAACTTGAATTTCATGATAATGCGAATTTACGATTTGAAAACGCCGGCTAGCCGTATTAGTGTGGACGGAGAACATTTCGTACCCGAAATTTTTCGAATATGATGACGTCATGATTGTCATGGGAATACGGCGGGAAGGCTAAAAATTCACCGCGGGCTCAATTTCAGCTTCGATGCACATGCTCAGATGTGCAATAACGCGTTTTGCCGCCTCTGATCGGACTGGTGTGGACGCAAAATATTTTCTCCGTTTTCATGTGTGGACGGAAAACTTTTTTTTCGGTTTCGGTGTGAAACTTGCAGATTCAAATTTATCCAGCATAGTGTGGACGGGGCTAAATATAGCATAATTTTTTTTCCTTTTATCATTGTTATGTATCTTTTTCAATATTGTAAGGCGCAAAATAATAATAACAATAATGATAAAATAATAATGATAATGATAATAATAATAATAATAACTTTTTCAATATTGTAAGGCGCAAAATAATAATAACAATAATGATAAAATAATAATAAAATAATAATAATGATAATTATAATGATAATAATAATAATATAATAATAATAGTTGTAGCTTTATCAAAGTGTCGATATATTCATAACTAATTGGTGAAGCATTGGATCATTTTATGCATTTTCAGCAAGATAAGTTATTATATTAAATTCAATTTTAAATTATGCAATCATTTTGTACTGACCGGCTTTTATATATTCATCTTTAGGTTTGGCTGCAATGTTGGTTACTCTAGTCGTTGGCCTTTTGTCCATTGTTACATATGCCTTAACACAGATTCCCGAGATAGAAAGTCAGATGACGTCTGTTGAGAGAGTCTTGAGTTACACCAACTTACCTTCAGAACCAGGCTACGACAGTGACATTCATCCACCAGAGGATTGGCCAACAAATGGGTCACTGAGTTTGCGCAATGTCTCTTTAATCTACTTTGAAGGCGGGCCTCGTGTTCTTAAAGATATCAGCCTCGATGTGAAACCTGCTGACAAAGTAGGCATTGCAGGAAGAACAGGAGCGGGCAAGTCGTCCCTCGTGGCATCGTTGTTTCGTATGCCTGATCCTGAAGGTGGGGTGTATATTGACGGCGTTGATCTTGGCACCATTCAACTACAGGCCGCTCGACGTTCCATGGCTGTCATTACACAAGATCCTGTTTTGTTTATCGGAAGCCTCAGGCAAAACTTGGATCCATTTGACAGCCTGACAGATTTGCAACTGTGGACCGCTCTCGATGAGGTCCAACTAAAACAAAAAGTGCAAAATCTAGATGGCCAATTGGAATACCCGATAGGAGAAGGAGGGTCAGGTCTCAGCGCTGGAGAAAGACAACTCCTATGTCTTGCTCGGGCGCTACTACAGAAATGTCAAATACTTGTACTGGATGAGGCCACGGCTAATATTGACTATCAAACAGACCAAATGATACAGCAAACCATACGAAACAAGTTTACCAAGTGTACTGTGCTGAC